AGTTTTCACAAATAATAAAATAAAAATATTTTACAAAACCAGAACACAATAATGCTTTCCAGGATGATATCTAATTTGGTACTGATAGAAGGAAATTTATGAAAACAACTTATCAGCAAACTTCTTGTCCCATCCAAATTTTGCAAAAATATTGCATGAATTAGATGGCCAATCTTACTGTATAGCCAATGTTATGGCATGAGGATTAATGAGAACTACCCCAAAATTTTGTCCCATCTTTCTTTTCACCCAACACTTCATCAATACGATTATAATCCATTTTTTTCATATGGGTTACTCAAATCCCAGTGTAGTAGTTTGGCTAAGGTCCTGGTAACTCCCATAATATTTGATGCCATGCTTAGAATTTACACCTATGTATCTTAATGCTCCTTGAAAGTAACAGTAACATCATATATATGTGATGCAATATATTTATCTATGTACATGGTGGGGGAGGAACCATCATTTATCAATCTGTGATCCTCAATCTAAGAATTTCTTTTTGAGTATAAATAAATGAAAGAATATAATATTTGCAGCCAAAAATGTTAAATGCTTAAAATCAAATGAATTTGTTCGAAGAAGAAAAGCTAAAGGAAATGTTTAAAGTGTATAATACCATATATCCTAACATATACTGTATTTGAAAATAATTATTAGCAATTCATGGATTCTTCCATGTCTTGAACTATAAAGCAAACTGATCGAGCAAACTGAATATGCTGGCAGCCTAATACTAATATGATGGAAATGTGGACAGAAAGATTATTTGCACCTGCTATTTTCTGATTTTTTTAAATAAATTTCCTTTCCATTGAAAATAAATGGAACTAAATTATTTAGATCTGGACTGTTTGTTTTTCCCCAGTCTTTGAAGCACAGATGAAAATGTGGAGTGCTTATGATCTAAAACATCAACAGCTCCTCCCCTCAATTACAACATGCCATATCTCCTGTCAGGTTTTATAAAACAAGAGGGGGGATAGAGGGGGGAGGAAGGATTCAGTAATTTTACTTTCAGAATGAATTACATTTTTTATTACAAATGCATACCTGAATGGCCCCTCAGTTCTGAATGGACTAGTAACCTGTAGATTATATTTTTTCAACTCATAACATGAGGATTTGCATTTTAATATGCCCTTTAGATAAATAGAAACTTGTATTAGCTTGGGAATTCATATCATAGCTTATGAAATAAAAACACAGTTGTGAAATTGCTATTTTGTAAACAAACAAAAAAAACCTCTTTCAGCTTTTAGGCATGACCAGTACAAATGGACCAGGTTTTCAGAAAATCTTCTGAATGAAAAGTGTAGAACAGGTTCTGCTGATTTAGATGGAGGCATAAATGTCTATGAAATTTTAAGGTATGGGACTTAACTTACTTTGCAATTGAAGAAGGCAACCAAGTGCCTGCCAGACATTGTATAACAGGGGTGTCAAACTGCCAGCCCACGGGCCGGTTGCATCATGCGGAGGCCGCGCCCACCCCTGCTCCAGCAATGGGAAAAAATTTGCGATACATCGCAACTCGTCACATGACACAGTGAGTTTGACGCCCGTGTTGTATAGAGTTCCTTCATTGCTATGTGGGAATGTTAAAAAGGTGTGGAACTCCAAAAGTTCCAGAAAATATCAGGTTGTCTAATAATCCTAGGCATTTTGATAGAAAAGAATAAATAGAAAGCCAACTAGGTGACCTTAGGCCAGTCACTCTCTCTCAACCCAATCTACTTCACAGAATTGTTTTGCTGAAAATAGGAAGAGGAAGAAAGATTATGTTTGTTTGCTGCTTTGAGTTTTTAAAAAAAGTGTAACAAAATCCTAGAGTGATTTACAAAGAATCTAAATTTCATTTTTCTGATTTTTATATTTTACTGTACAATGATAATTTGAAATACATTTCCAATAACATGTTCTTAAATGTGTCCAAACATAGTTTGAAGAAAACTTTGAATTCAGAAAGAAGGGGCCTATGAAGAAATGAGAGAAGCAGGAAAATAGAACAAGGCTATTGTATCCTTTTTGCTGGTTACAGGAATGAACCATATTATTCAGCAAGAAGGGAGGAAGAGGGAGTTAATAATTCAAGTGAATATGTTACTGATCAAATAGTCTTCTTTGCCAAGTATCTTCTTCCTCTTTCCAGGTATCCATCTATAAATAAAATGTTATTTTTTATATGCATGAATGAGTTTCTTCTTTCTATGTTTAAACTGTAAGTGCTCTTAATTTTATTGAGTATTACAGATGGATTAATTATAATAAACTACATATTTTCTAGATTTCCTCAAAATATATACTTACACTAGGTTTGACAGAGTTAATTTTTGTCTTCAAAGAAAAAGCCATTGTAAAGCCTCCTACTCCAGTTAAAGCTTTTGAAACAAGCAAAAGTACAGCTTCAGCAGGATACAGGAAACGGCTAGTAAATTCCACATTAACTTTTACTTGACTCCTGAATGGGAGAATAATAAGATATCTTCTAATGCAATTATGGCAGGCAAAGTGCAACACCTTTATACACCTGATACTGAACATCTTTTGCTAAAACAAACTGAAAGGAAAAGTCTTAACTTCTTGTGAATTAATGGACATATCCATGAAGTTGTCTAAGCAACAATATAGAAGGGGTTTCCCATGGCTACATTTTGGGACATTTTTTTTACTTCCAGATTTAACCTATAGCTCTGATATTCCCTGGAAGTCTAACACCTAAAAAGGTCCAAATGGACTTAGCCCAGACTGCATTAGTCAAGTCTTGCCAGCTATCAAGTCTACAAAATCATTAAAAACTATGGACATTTGAAAACTGGTATTTCACAATGAAATTTTCAGAAAATTAGTAATTCTCTAGTGGATAAATTAGGATTTTTAAACTCTTGTACATTGTCTTTCACTATAATAATAATAATAATAATAATAATAATAATAATAATAATAATAATAATAATAATAATAATAATAATAATAATAATAATAATAATAATAATAATAATAATAATAAATAAAAAAATAAAAAAAAAGTTGGAAGGGACCTATCAAGCAAGCACTCTGGAAAGAACTACCAATTGCTGTTTCTGTCTAGACCCACAAACCTGCAAATGCCATTTTATGTTATGCCAGCTGTAATGGCAACAATTATGCACCAGTCACAGAGCAAAGTTAATTAGCCATCTGTTATATGGTACACATATATACAATCATCATACTTAAGGTTTCTATAATCCAGTCTAAATTTTTTAAAGCCTTATTGTGAGACCCCAACTGTACTTCCAACATTTTTTTATTTCTGGAAAAATCTTTACAATTTAAGAACTCTGATGCCTCAAATGGCTTAAATTAGTATTTACTGATAGTTCCCTGTCTTCACTGATCTTACAGAATAATTATTTATCTATATTTAAGAAAGGCATAGATATGGATATAAAATTCTATAGTCTATGTAACCTTACTATGTAACCATACTCAAGCCTCATTGGCTCGGATGCAATATCAGGAATGATATTCAGAGAAATCTGAGCACAAATATCTTTTGCAATTGTCTATTTAGCCATTAGTTTATGTCCATCTCATTAAAAAAAAGCTTTCACATTTACCAAGTACAATGCTTTGCTCTCCATTTACTGGAAAAAATATTGAGTAACACTTCTGGACCCAAGGACCTCAAACCATTTCACACGTTTTTCTATAATGCTCTTTTTTTATTTGGCCTAATCTGCTAAATCAGAAGGAACGTTCTCCTCCTTTTAGTTCACATAACTTCTCTAATGTCCCGAAGAGTAGCCAGTTTTGCTCACTTAGTATTGTACTTGCATTGTTGGCTGTTGTATTCAGATATACATCCATTCATACTAAACTGAGATATTTTTTGTGTTTCTATGGATATTTCAACCTAGACTTTCAGATAGGGTCTACATAATGAAAATGAGAAAATTATTTCTTTTTCCAACCAGTGGTTTATAGTATTGTCTAAATGTTTGGTCATTTTTTCAAATGATAATTAAAAGTGCAATAATTACAAACATTAAAGAATGTTGTTTTGAAAAAAATATTTTAAGTATAATTCAGTAAATATGTAATATGAGGGTTCAGCCCATTTAGTGAAAGGTTGGAGTGAGTTCTCAAAGTACCTCTCCTAGAGTTCCTCTGGGTTTTCAATAGTATAAGTCCATCTTATTTCTTTGGTCTATACTTGGTAAAATAACAAATATGTATCGTACAGACATTTTCCAGGCCCCACCCTAACACATGAGATGCAACTTTATCTTACTATCAAACAGAAAAACAGAAATGCAATACATTCCATGGCATCACCCTAGTCACCATATGTGACTAGGGAAGCATCTCATTCCCTCTCTGGTAGATAGACCAATCTCAGAAATGATAATAAAATTACTTTTTTTAAAAAAAGAAAAAGAAAAAAAGCCTTATTTTCCTACTTGAAGTAGTCAAGCTACTTTACAATGGCAAAGGAAATAAAAATACATGGCTACTAAAAACAAGGAAAACAATTTGAAAGGCAATTCCCCCCCCCCCAAAAAAAGCAACGAAAATGTAAATTTCAGGATAGATAACAAGATTGTATTGATCTAGCCCTAATTTCAAGAATTCTGCCATAAACGAATTCCAAGTCACATAAAACCAACATGTTTTAAGTAATACTCATAAATCAAAGTAAATCAAAAGTTTAATTACAATCATAAACCAAACAGAACTTTACTTACTTTGGGGAAATTGTGACAGTATTTCCCTTAGGTAATGAAAAGGTAGAGGATTCTTTTCCTAAAATTGTAGCATTGTATACCAATGGCCTTATGCTGGGGTTTTTCAACTGTATCTGTTGCAAAAATACAATATTTCATTTATTAAATCTTTTTACTCTATTTTTCAGAGCAACCCCCAAAGGCTTACATAAAACTGTGCAGAAAAAGTATGACAAGTGATATTACTTTTTTCCATTTCAGTAAATGCAACAAGATGTTGGGGGAAGCAGCAAGCTATATATTATATGCTTTTTTGTAGAGGCGTATCACTAAAAAAGACAGACTTATAATTCATATATTACAGATGAAAGAAAAGCTAAAAGATAGTGAGTTGTATTGAGACTTTAAATTACATCTTTTATTGGATGATAGCTCTAGTAACAAAACAGGGACATCCAAAATCACAGAACATTAAAAAAATTATGCTAAATAAAAATTGATGAAAAAAGAAATGAAAACAATCAAATAAATTGCTCCATTATCAAAAACACTTCAAATAGTAAAAGTGCTAAAGTATAGTAAAACATGAGACAACCTTTATCTTGAGTGTTAGAAGAATTTAATTACCAGTAATCACAAGTATTGTGGAAACTGAAGTGCAAAACATCTGGATAACAATGTGAAAACATTTTTCAGATCTGCAGATAATAACCTAATATTTGATATGGCATGACTGCCTATTAAGGTTAAAATTCGGAAACCAGCCCTCTAGCTATGAATCAGTAGGTGCAGGTTCTTTTTCCTTCATGTTATAGCCTATCTTCCAGTATCTACTAATAACACTAATTTATAAAGGTTCATTTCTTCCACTATTAGTAGCAGAAATCTCCAGGCCTACTTTCAATTCTATCAATAATTACTTCAAATCTTTATATACAAATACCTTTCTAAGAATAGTAGCATGAAGTTGGCCAGCAAACACAAGTGTTTTCTTAGGTAAATACTGAGGAAGCCGCTCATATAAATAGACACAAAGCATAAGCATCATGACTGGATTTGGATCACAAATGTCAGCAGCCTAATTTTACATTAAAAATAAGGCAGTGTAAATTGATGCTATAGATAAAATCTTTAAAAAAATGTTAAGAGATTATAATTTTAGTTATCTTCTTAACTAATAATATTCCATATATAAAGCCAGTACAAAACAGAAAGTAAAACATAGGAACTAAAACCAATTTTATTTCAAACATCAACATAAAGAAGTAGATAAAAGCAGATATCTGAGAAACAAACCCTTTGAGTATATTGTGTTACAAACAAGGGGAAATTTACAGAAATATTTAAGTACTAATTAAGTAAGTAATACAGAAAATATTAAATTTTCACAATTCTTTTCATACAAATATATTTATAGTGACTGGTTGTTTACATTTAGTATACCAATAAAACCTTAAAAATACACTTTTAAAGCAGCTTACTGAAATTCAGTTTTGTGTTTCTCTACATTACGCAGACCTAGCTGTCTGGCCATGGCTCTAATGCTGGGAAAGGAGGAAGGAAAGAGAAGATGATAATTATCAGCAAGGTGGATGTACTCAGTTACAGTGGCAATGTGTGCAGCATTGAAAGATTTGAAAGACCTGGTTATAGACAAATTGTCATGAAGAAAAATCTATCTACTGTATGTGGTTGCTAAGAATCAACAATGATTGATGGCATATAATCAAGATGAGGGAACAATCATAATGAGGATATATTCACTCCTTTATTACTGTGGTTTTACTTCAAAGTTTTTCACTAAAGCAGCAAGATTGACTGTTCAAAATAACTGATTAATATTCATAAATATACAGTATACAGAAATAATATTTAATACTCTGGAGTATTACATTTTGTACTTTACAAATGTTATTTTCTGCAAAATTCATTGTTTATAGTTTTATACCAACTCCCAGGTTTGTATTTATTGCTATCTTAGTATAACATTTATTTGATGAAATGAACAATAATCAATGAAAAGCTATTTCACGATAATGTGCTTTTAGGTTTCTCAGTAGTAATAACAGCATCAATTACTACCAGTATGATATTTAGCAATAATAAATACAGTATATTATACAGCTTCTTGAAATCAGTATGTTAAAGGCAAAAGACAAAAAGGTCATTATATTCTGAGGGGTGAAGGATGAGGTGTGATTTTCTTCCTATTTCTAATAAATTTTCCATCGGATTACTAAGTGTTATCCTTCTCTGTAAATTTCACTTCCTTCCACAAGTGAAGGAAGTGAAATTTACAGAGAAGGATAACACTTTCTCTTTACACATATGAAGTACAAAATATCTATTTATTCAGATTATCACATATTTCCTGTAAAGGAACTATCATTCAAGAAAGAAAACTAACAGAAGAAAAAGTTATATGTAAACAAAATAATAAAAACACAATTTTCAAACCAAAAATAAAACTTCAAGTAATATTTTATTACTTCTTTATGTACTGATTCACTTAATCATTTGCTTACTCTATTAATAGATTTCAAAAAGCTATGTATAACATGGTTTAATTAGTAATTGGATGGGAGTGCAGGAAAGGAAAGCTGGACTAGGAAATCAAACACATAAAAAGCCATTTAAAAATACCTTTAAAGTATTATACATTGTGAACTAAATAAATAAAACAATTCATGCAAAACTATCTCTTTTCTGTCATTTTCCTACTTTTAAAAAACAATATTCTTTTGCAGCAAATGTTTAACATAAGCAGCAAGAGCAAACTCTTTAAGAGAAAGGTATCCACAATCCAATTCTTGGTAAAACAAAATCCAAGACCAGGCTGAGCTGACAATTAGAATAACAGGATACGTGCTGAATTTAAATCTCTCCCAACTCCAAAGGTTAGGAGCTACTCTGTTCACTGTTTGGACAATAATCTGGAACTGGGCCAGTATTATTGGTACTGACTTAGTTTGGTTTAGGTTTGAATATGATGCATACAGCTCTAGCCTATTGTATTGCATACTCATTTAAAAAAAAGTTTTCATTTTAATGATGATTATCCAATATCTAACTGGCATTGACTCCAAGTGATCACATAAAATAAATTTTCTTCAGGACATCCTGTCCCCAACCTAATGCTTCAGATTTTTGTATGGTACACTCATTGATGCTGTAACTGAGGCTGTCCATCTTGCTGCTGCCATCCTCATTTTCTTTTTCCTTGCACATTTCCCAGAATTATAAACTTCTCCAGATAGCTACATCTTTGTTAATTGTATTCAAAATATGATAACTTAATTGTACTCAAAATATGATAGCAGAGCAAAATTGTGATTCACCCTAACCTCCTCTAACAATTGCCATTTTTTTGTTGGATTTACAACATGGATAGCAGTAGTGGTTACTTTTCTGAAAAGCAAATTTCCTATCCATACATATTAAAATCTGATGTGATAGTTAAGATGCTGGCCTAGAAACCAGAAATCTGTAAATTCTAGTTCTTCCTTAGTGATGGAAGCTGACTGAGAGATGTTGGATCTATTTCTTTCTCTTAGTCTAATTGACCCCATAGCGCTGTTGTTGTGGTAAGAATATGAGGAGGAAGTTCTATATACACTGACTTGATATGACAAATAAAGGCAAAATATAAGCCAAATAAATTCATGCATAATTAATTCAAAGCCTCCATATTTTGAAACATTACAAACCACCATAAAGTTAAAGTTCTTAATCCCTTTTTTATTCTTATAAAAAGTTAAACTAAGCTAACTAGATAGTTTTATACCAATTATAATGGGAATTATAATAATTAATTTAACTACCTATGTGCATACTTTAAAAATAGGAATATAAAATAGTATAACTGAAAGAATATAATTACTCCTAGAGTATTTGTAATATAGGACCACTTACCACTATATCTATGTCAAGATTTATTGCATGAAAAGCATTCACAAGTATCAAGGCATTGTGCAAATACTGTTCAGAACTTGTGGGATGAGTGTACATATTCACAAAGTGGGTTGAAATCTGCAACCAAAATGAAAATGAAAGTTTTTCTGAGTGAATTTATTGAATAGTTACAGGAGAAGAATAACAGAATAAGAATAATAGAATAACAGAGTTGGACGGGACCTTGGAGGCCTTCTAGTCCAAAACCCTGTTCAAGCAGGAAATCTATACCATTTCAGATAAATAGCTGTCCAATATCTTTTTAAAAACCTCTAGTGTTGGAGCACCCACAACTTCCAGAGGCAAGAAATTCCACTGATTAATTGTTCTGACTGTCAGAAAATTTCTCCTTAGTTCTAGGTTGGGTATCTCCTTGATTAGTTTCCATCCGCTGCTTCTTGTCCTGCCTTCAGGGACTTTGGAAAATAGATTGATCCCCGTCTTCTTTGCGGCAGCCTCTTAGATATCGGAACACTCCAATATCTAAGTGTTTTATTGGCAACCCTATTTGACCAATCCTGAATATTATAACATATCTGTTCCACTCCTATAAATCTCTCTCTCTCTCTCTCTCTCTCTCTCTCTCTCTCTCTCTCTCTCTCTCTCTCTCTCTCTCTCTCTCTCTCTCTCTCTCTCTCTCTCTCTCTCTCTCTCTCTCTCCCTCCCTCCCTCCCTCTCTTTCTTTTGAAAACAGCAACTCATTTTGATAACATCTTACCTGATTAGGGCACTTCTGTATCTGTATAGTAATAATCCACATTTGGTTACCTCTTAGCCTTTCATGAATCAACTGTTCCCCTCTTTCTTCTACTATTGCAAATACTTAAATTCTCTTTATACCAAGTTCGGTCAATGGTATACAAGTAGTCAATGATTTAAGATTATAATTAAACCCAGAATTATGGGTGTAAGTCATGCCACTTTTACATCACCACACAACCACAGCCAATTTTATCTTTTTTGTAGCAGTCATTAAATAAACACCATGTTCATTAAATAAACCTATTCTTTGCAATGGGGATTTTTTACTATAAACTGGAAGTATGAGGGCAATTCGGAAATAAACCTCTGTTTGGTTATCAATGACAGACACTCGCAGATTCAGAACTTTTATTATACACATTAGAAAACTACAACATTACATTACTTTTTGACATAATCGCCATTCAAATTGAGGCACTTGCCATAACGTCTTACAAGGTTTGAAATTCCTTAGTAGTAGTCATTTGGCACCAAATCTGGGCTATGGGGGGGCATGATCAAAAACATCCCAACAGAACTGCTTCAAAAGTTCTTGGGTGTGTCTAGCAGTGTGTGGGCGAGCATTATCGTGAACCAACACCACACCGGAAGTCAGCATGCCCCAACCTTGTTATGGATGGCTCGTCTGAGCTTTTGTAATGTTTCACAGTAGACTTCTGAATTGATGGTCAAACCATGCTCCATGAACTTCACTAGCAGTACTCCTTTGGCATCTTCACATTTGGCAGGATTTTCTATGGCACCACTTCCGATGTGGTGTTGGTTCACAATAATGCTCGCCCACCCACCACTAGACACACCCAAGAACTTTTGAAGCAGTTCCGTTGGGAAGTTTTTGATCACCCCCCATAGCCCAGATTTGGCGCTGAGTGACTACTACCAAGAAATTTCAAACCTTGTAAGACATTATGACAAGTGCCTCAATTTGAATGGCCATTATGTCAAAAAGTAATGTAATGTTGTAGTTTTCTAATGTGTATAATAAAAGTTCTGTATCTGTGAGTGTCTGTCATTGATAACCAAACGGAGGTTTATTTCCAAATTGCCCTCGTAAATCCAATTTTCAGCAAAAAATGTGAATCAGTAAATCATGGTTACATGATATCAAGATACTGCAAATGGCCAATGACCAGATCCCAAGCATCCAAAATGCAATCACGTGGCCATGAGAGGGTCCCAGAGAGCAGAACTTTGAGTTGTAAGCATCTTTTGCGGGATCCATTGTAGCTTCAAACGGTCACTAAGCAACTAATGGTAAGTCAAGGACTATCTTTACTTACTTTTGTCAGGCAGCAACTCTCCAACATTTCAGTACAAAGATCATTCCAAGAACTGTTCCCTGGTCGATTTATTCAGAAACTATATAAAAATATGTGCTTTACTAAGACTACTCTTAATTTTTTCTTTTCTAGTTTCTTCAAGACAAAATTATATTACAATAAATATTACCTATCTTTCTTTTGCTCTTTTTATCCCTTGCTTCCCTAACCAAATCTTCAATCATTCCTGTGATTTCAAGTGTACTCAGTGGTTCAACCAATGCCTCCCTTGAAACTACCTGAACTAAATTCAGAGCCACCATAGTAAAACAAGAACAGTTCCACTGTTTAGCCATCCTCTTGACAGGATATCTAAACTACTTGAGACTCAAAACAGAGAGAATGTAACTTTGCTGTAATGAAATAGTTGGGAATATGGCTGCTGACACTGAGACAGAATTACAAAACACTATAATATATGATGATTCAAGAAAAGCTACATTAGGCAAGAAAATATATAGAACAGCTATGAGGAAGCAGCAGCATTTGCAGCAAGCTGCAATGGTACCAAAACAGCAATAGATAAAAAGGGATCTCATGACATGAATGTTCCAATTGTGCCTTGACACCTGATACAATTACTTAAGTCGTGGCATTTGTATTGTCACACACATTAATCATTTGCTGTTCAGTGGACACCCAAGTGAGGAAGAGAGGCAGTCTTTTAGGTAAAGAAAACAGTTGAATTCAAACACAGGGAATAGCATATTCAACAGAAAAAATAATAATGCTGGCACACTTTCCTGTGATCAGTGTCTTCTATCAGGACTTAGTGTGCCTCCTCTACTGTGGTGTCTGCTCTCTGAAATGAAGTTCTCCCTGAGATCTGGGTGGTTCTCGCTCTCATGGCATTCCAGAGGTCCTTAAGAACCTGGCTATTCTACAGGCCTTGAGTCAAGGCATCTGGAACCCCTTGGGTGCAGGTTAAATATGCTCTCGTGTTCTCAGCCAGTTTCCCACTGTGTTCTTCTCTTCCCTTTTCCGGTTTGCTTCTTGTTCTGTATTATCTTGTTTTATTTATCTAGGTTTTTTTAAAAACAAATTCTATTCACTGTGCTATTAGCTGTCCATATTTGTTTTAGAGTGAGGTGGCATCAAATTGAATAAAATGAATAACCCTAAAGATAAAGGAAAAGATTCAATACTGGAGTGAGAAACTCAGATAAAAGAGAAGGTTTGGCAATGAGTTTGAACATAGTTTAAAAAATAACATACTTAGAAGAGGAGACATAAAATGTACACGCTAAAATATAACCATATTAAATGAATAGCTTATACAGTTATAAAATAATTAAATTTGTATTTTTTTTGTTTGGTTCAAACTTCATGAAAGTACCACATTAGCTCTTTCCATTAATATGCTAAAATGTATTATAAACAAACATTAAATAACATTTCTATCAAAAAGTTTTTTAAATCTTTCTTACCAAATAGGGACAATAGCTTGCCAATTGTGCAGCAAGGACAAGGCCATCATGAAGATCTCTATCAAAGTTAACTATCCATCTTGTTGGAGGTATGTCCCCTATTTGAAATGAGATTTTAGAATTTCACAATGCAAATTTTGTGGACTTATAAAAATGCTGTTTTTGTTCTTTATAGGAAAGACATTGCAATGTATCTGTTAAACCTAACTCTTCTTACAACTATTATAAATTATCACTCCCTCGCTGAATTATATTAGGTTCCAACTTCTCCATAAATCTGTTAGACAAGGATCATACTGTTGCAAGCTGAGGCAGAAAAAAAATCTTATATATACAGTAGGTACACTAAGAGAAACAGGGAGTGATTTTTTTTCTTGCTGCTTCATTTTCTAATTTGTCTTTAGGATTACAGTGCCAAGACACTGTGGCACCCAGAATGTGCTCTTTCTTCTTAGGAATTGGTCCCGACTCCCAATGTAGAACATCTGCCCAAAATCTTATTAGCTGCTTGAGAATGGAGCAGAAGAGGTACACCATCCTGGGGCATCAGGTCATTTCCAAAAGAGTATGAGCAATACATTGCTTTGTTTTCTTATAGTTAGTTCTTTTGGCCATAGAACAGCATAAACTAGCGTAAAACTAAAATTTTACAATCTCTATAGATTATGAGGAATGTATATAAAGGATTAAAATTAATAGCACAGAAACAAGAAAAATTAAAGTCTACAAATAATGTAAAGATCAATTATATTAATACTAAAATATATTTAGTATGTTTTAATATAGATATATGATGAGTTGAAAATTGCTATAAAACAATTAAATTGTATATAATAAATCTAAAATATGAAAAAAATAAAATGTTTTATGAAAATAAAAATAAAACAACAATAGAGTATAGGTCATAATGAGTCCAACAGGTTGGTCATGTTAAGGGTCCTGTCAGCCAAGGAATGTCAACTGGCAGAGACTAGGAGACATGCTTTCTCCACCATAATTCTGCCTTCTAGAACATTCTCCCTTAAAGATTAGGATGATTCCAACCTTATTAGCCTTATTGGCCTTTCATAAGCCCTGGTTATGTGTGTGGATATGGGATCTTGAGTGTGCAAAAGATTCTATTTCCTGGCTATATAGATATCTATCTTGAAATTTTTTCTCAGCTGCCATATGTCTAAGGATGCTCTTAGTCATCCCAGTTATGGCTATCCCAAAGATGCGTTAAAAACAACTGGACTTTCTTGATTTTTCTTGAAGATATTTCACTTTTCATCTAACAAGCTTCTTCAGTTCTAACTGGTGGTGAATGAAAGATTAATACTCTTTACAGCAGCGAGTCATTAGCACTCTCACAGGTGTTAAAACCAACTGGAGTTAAACTGTGTCCTTAGAGCAGATAAGTCGAGGATTAAACCGGTCGTAAGTCGAGAACTACCCAACCGGTCGTAAGTCGAGGACTTTCCCTGCCCGGGAGCGCCGCACATGCGTGGTTCCGCCCCCCCTGCGCCGGCCGAGGCGTAGCTGGCAAGCGGCAGAGACGGAGCAGGCCGACCACCAGCTGGCCCAGCCCAAGGGAGGTAAGGCACCCGATGGAAAAGGGGAAAAAAATGGACAAAAAAAATGGCGGACAGCCTTGCTTGGCGACCCCCATGAAATGGTTGATCGACCCCAAATGGGGTCCCGACCCACAGGTTGAGAACCACTGTTCTAAAAGGAGGTATGCAGGATATATCTGTCTGTCTGTCTATGTATGTGTTGTAGATAACACTTGGAAACCATGGAAATTAATCATATGTTCATATCATTAAATATATATTACTTCTAAAAAAATTTATTTTATGATATTATGATACATATCTATGTTTGAATATTAGTATACAATACCTGATAAATTTGTTTAATGCATTTGAATTATGTAGATTTAGTTCTCTAACAAATGAAAGTGCATTCTATTATGTAAACGAAACAACATTTTTCATTCATTGATGAATAGCTAGGTTGACTAGCTTTACCTCTGCTTCAGTGTGTGTTTTTTCAAATTTCAACAATTACTTGTTCTTTTTATGAATATATAACTAGGAAATCTATTAATTAGAATTCCCCATATTTCTTGACTGACAATTACATTATGTGCTTCAATAATTAATACTTAGAATATTTATCAACTAACAGTGCATAAGCAGAGGACTCATGGGTAAATATTATAATGAATTACAATGTAACCCAATTTATAAGCATACTGTAACTTTGGATATTTTTAATATTTAAAGTAATTAAAGTACTTCAGTTCTAAAAGCCTGAAGCATTGCCAAAATAAGATTAAAAAGAAAGCATGAGGATGATTCAATATCTTTGAATTGTATGAAGTCAGAGTTTCCTCATTTTCTTTAAAGTCACTGGACAGTCACTGGCAATTTGAATTTATTCACAAGTTAATACATGTAATTTAAGGTACAAGAGCTGAACCTTATGTGAAGTCTAATCCTTTAAGTCATGGGTGTCAAACTTGCCACGTCACGTGATGTGTCATGACATATCGTGACTTTTTGCATTGCCGGAGCTGGGTGGGCGCGGTCTCTGCATGATGCAACCGGCCCGCAGGCCAGCAGTTTGACACCCCTGCTTTAAGTTAAGAAAAAGACGCATGATTTCTTTAATTCCTTTCTTGCTGTTTTGTACATCTAGATCAGGGGTGTCAAACTTGCAACGTCACGTGACGTGTTGCGACATATCGTGACTTTTTTCCATTGCTGGCAATGGGGTGGGTGCGGTTTCGCTATGATGCATCCGGCTTGTGGGTTGGCAGTTTGACATCCCTGATCTAGATGTTAGCTCTAAAAGTACTTCACCTATTCACTCTTCATCTATATATATTAAAATACCTTAGTCAACTATAAAAATATATACTAAAAATACAAAATAGCATGGTTATTAAAAACAATTCAATCCTATTTAAAGTAGTAATCATAAAGTCAATGTGTAGCATCAACAACTATCTGCTTTGCAATTTGTTATTGTTGTTTCTGTTATTCTTTTACAAAAATTGTATTTATAGTATTTTTGGACTGATTAATACCTGTAACTACTATATTAGGATGAAGAATAACCTTTAAAAAATTACGTGTGCTTTAATGAGTATCAGGAATTTATGCTTGTGCAAGCCCAGAAGATTTCTTTCAAAATGTTTTTCAAGATATACATACGGTCATGCCCTATGTATATGTATACTATATGTTTGTATCATGAGCCATGTAATATATATTTAAATAAGCAAAAATGTATTTCAAATAATTCAACTAAAAGAATATTTTGCAGGTTATTTTAAATATTAATGCTCATCAAACTGAAATTCTGCATTGCATCTGCAATCAATACCCCCTTAATTGTTTTATCATTATAGTTACCATACTTTCAGTGATGCAATAAACTAGTTGGCTACTCTGTGCTATAATAAGAGTGCCTCTCTTGTAATCCCTGATCACAAGCTTTCATAGTCATTTCATCCTGGTCTGTTAGACTGCCTGCCCCCTTTGAAAGGAACCTATCACCTTAAAAAATGGTGGACTTTTTTTCTTCATCCAGGATACTATTGACAAGAGTTCTGGTAGTTTCTTCTTGGAACTCATCTGATAAGAAGAATGATAAAATATGATCTTATCTTTCTGCACTCCCAACAACAATCTACCAATGAATGGAAGTTATTAAGACAAGGGAGAGTCAAGGGACAACAGCTGTAAAAAAAAGTGTGTAAAGAAGAAATTATATTTCTGAACTTAGTAATGCAATATATTTGAGAAACTTATAATAATGTACACTAACTCTAAAATTGTAAAACTGCACTAGGAAATTACTGTATAGCACTAGTATAAGATGAACTTCTTTCCTGTACAGCAGGGAGGGGGGGAAATCTATAAAAACACTTAATGAATTCAGTGATTTTCCCCACCTTTCTTGCAATTTTTCCACACAATTTTTCGTGTCTTCTCAAAATGTCTGTTCATCCAAATAAGAAGAATTCTTTCAGATGAAGAATATATATTACTTGACAAAGGATCAATGCTTATTTTTGGAAGGTGTTCTGTGTCTTCTATATTGGTCTGGCCAGTGTCCTCAAGAACAGAAACTCGCTGGAGAATCAGAATCTGAAATAGCAAGTTATAATGTTTCTTGCCAATAACCAGTTGTACATTTATGTAAAATCCTATTAAATGAACTTTAATATTGTGGTCTTTCTACTTATGCAACAGTTAAATTTTATAACTAGTAATGCTACTATAAAAATATTCACATTTCATATTTATCTTTGCTGAATGCCACACATGGGCTTATGAGTCCCTATCAGTGTTAGAAACAAACCCAAGTAAATGAAAGCTTATGTTTTTGAAAAATAAAATTGATTCTTTGCTACAATAGTGATCTACAATGTACAAACTATGTCCACTGGAGCTATAATTCTTTCCACTCTTATCCAGGGCCCAAAATGCCAGTAATTTCCGTGGTTGCATAGTAGTACTATTGTAGGATGGACCCCGTTTGTGGCACATACCATTCCTTCCCCCTCACCCCAGTTATAGCAAATCAACCTATATCACTATCTTTAAATGTTTCGGTTTTGGATTAAAGATTAGGGGCTACCAAATCTGAGCTGTGGAAATCTAGATAACCACTAGATGGCAACACTTTTTTTCTGTATCTTTCTGCTGCTATCTAGTGGATATATAAATCAATACATGAAGTATAGGTAGTTGTCGACTTACGAATGTAATAGAGCCTACCAATTACATTTGTAACCCGAGGAATTTGTTAATCGGATCACATTAAATGTACATGATCCCTCCCTGATTTACCCAATGCATTTGCTAATCAACACTCAGGTCATTAATTGCACATGAGGTAGCTAAGGGTGGGGAAGACCCTGGGGGACCTAGTGCCTCCGATCACCCAAGGCCTCCCTCAGCCCACTGAGATATTTCATGCTTCCCCCCCCCTCCATCCTGCCCCACCTCACTTACCTTTTGAAGATCTCGATGATCAAGCAAACTATGACGTCTCCAGCCTCTATGCCACGGTTTCTTGGCCTACATCCCTACAGGCTCTGATCGTCTTTGCAAAAAGCTTTTTGCACAAAAACAGAGGCCAGGAGGGGCATGCTGGGAGAGGCATGTGTGCTGCTCCCGGCCTCCATTCTTTGTGCCAAAAGCTTTTTGCAAAGACCACCAGAGCCTGCAGGGATGCAATCTGTCACCCCTGCAGGCTTCAGCAAGGAAATGGCAAATGGATGGAAGGCCAGAAACATCAAAGCCTTTTAGCACAGATCTTGTTCAGGCCTCCCTTTGCAAAGAACGGAGGCCTGAAGTAGCGCAAGATCACGTGAGATCAGTAGTGAATTCTCTGCGAATGCACGGAAGGCCTGAAGCACCAAAGCAGGCAAAGAAACTGCAGCAGGAAGGCTGGGAAGGAGACAGCTCGCTAGATCTTTGCAAGTGGCCCATTGCCTTTGGAGATCCGATGGGGGGAAATAGGCAGGGTGACTGTTGCAGTGCCGCTGTGGTCGTTCTTAAGGGGGAACGACTGCCACGGTGCTGCAACATTCGTAACCTTGGGACTGTATCATAAGTACTTGCAGGGATGATGTCGTAACTTCAAACAGTTGCTAAATGAACTGTTGTAACTCAAGGATTACCTGTACAGAAATGCCTGTAATTAACTAAATATTTCTAAGATCAGTTAGAACAGTAATATATTATCATGAGTGAGATCTATATCAGAATATTGCAATACATTATCCATCTCAGCACTCCTGACTCAGTATTCCAGCCATCTTGAAGAAGAGTATTCAATTATTATTTCTTGTTTAGCTGCATAATAATAATAATAATAATAATAATAATAATAATAATAATGATGATGATGATGATGATGATGATGATGATGATGATGATGATGATGATGATGATGATGATGATGATAAAGTTGGAAGGGACCTTGGAGGTCATCTAGTCAAACCCCCTGCTCAGGCAGGAAACCCTATACCATTTCGGACAAATGTCTGTCCAGTTTCTTCTTAAAAACTTCCAGTGTTGGCGCATTCACCGCTTCTGGAGGCAGGTTGTTCCACTGGTTAATTGTTCTAACTGTCAGGAAGTTTCTCCTTAGTTCTAGGTTGCTTCTCTCTTTGGTTAGTTTCCATCCGTTGCTTCTTGTCCTGCCTTCAGGCGCCTTGGAGAATAGCTTGACTCCCTCTTCTTTGTGGCAGCCCCTGAGATATTGGAACACTGCTATCATGTCCCCCCTCGTCCTTCTCTTCATTAAAGTAGACATACCCAATTCCAGCAACCGTTCCTTATATGTTTTAGCCTCCAGTCTCCTAATGCTCTATCTCCAGCAAATAGACTAAATTCTACTTTCACTCTTTTCGTCATTTTCTTTGCATTTTGAAAACTTTTTTTTTGCTCTCTGAGCATAGTTGTTTGCTTACAGACATTTCATTACCCAACTAAATAATGAGAGTGAATGTAGCTTATGCTCACTTTATATAGAGACGAGCTTTACCTGCCAGTTTTGGTGGGGGATGTAGTTTTCTTTGGTAGTTCCTTAATTGTTGATTGATTGATTGCCTGTTGTTAATCCAAGTTCATCTGAGTGTTGGCTGCTGGAGAGGATGTATTCTGGTCTGTTTCCTTGTTTTTTATTGTCTCTTTTGAATGGTGTGTAAATGTGGTTTATGTATCTATTGATGGCTCATTCCAAATTTCCAGAAATTCCCTAGCATTTCTGGATTTAACCTAGTCTAGGATGTTCAGTTTCCCAGTTGAAACTATGGCTGATCTGTCCATGTGTTGTGAGATTAAGGAATTTTCATCATGTCTTCTGACTGCTAGTTGGTATTGAGTCTTCTGTCTGTCCTACAAAGTAGTTGTTACAGTCCTTACATCTATGTTGTAAGTAACTCCTATTTTTTTCTTCTTGGGTACTGGGTCTTTTGATTAACCTATAGTAAAATGTTTTGGAGAGCTTAGTTGATTTGTGTGCGACACTGATGAGTGCAGTTATAATAGTTTGTCTGTTCTTTCTGAGATGTTTTTGAAATATGGCACTGTTAACCTTTCCATAGCTTGTGCTTATTGTGCTATACTAGGCTGAGTGGTCAGATACTTTTTGATAAATGGCATGGGAAGCCATTCTGTTGGATGATGTTGTAGAAGTAGTCTGGTGTTTTGGGGGGCTGTAGAATGTTTGTACTCATCTGAATAATGTTCTTACACAGCATCTCTTGTGATAGTTTTTTTTATCAGACAGGATGTCTTTTTCCAATCTTTCAGAGAATTCACTAAAGATTTCAAGTGTCCAGATTCAGTCTACATTCTTCAGCAGGAATCTTATTTTTCTTTAAGTACAAAATTGCTTTTAAGCTATCCAATCAGTTTTCAGATTGATATAAATGATAATGTGAAGTTAATTTTTAGTCATGATTTGTGCAATATGTGCCTTGCCCATACAACCAAATTCATAGACTCCAATACCTATTTGCATATATAAATAAAAGTATTCCACTTTATTTTGCAGCTAAAACAAACAATTCTTTTATGTTATGTCAATCAAGCTTATGTAAATAAAGACATTCATCTCACCTTGTATATTTGAAGTAGCACATCAGTCCAGGCTCGCTTACTCACAGTCTCAAAGATAGAGTCATCCAAAACATAAATATAATTGTCATCTTCATCAGATTTTTGAATCTTTAAATAAAGATGAAATCATTCTGATTTACATTTTGGTTTTCTTTCATCGTCTACCACAATGAACTAATATTAACTATTATCTGAAATAAAATTATTATTAGATGTTCTGCACATTTGGATGACACTGAAGTCTCATAAATTAGTAGTAGTAATAAATCTGTGGATGCAGAAAATACTGTGTCCAAAATTCTATAAATACTATAAAAATGGTATTAGTCATACCAATATTTATTTGGTAACTTGATATGTTTTCAAATAAATAGGCTTCAGTGAGCTGTTTATAGACTGCCATGCAGGAAAGAGAAAAAAAGTATGTTATATTTCCAGCAAACATCCTTGTACAAATCTATACATTTCCTTCTTGATGTAAGTTTCATTGAAGAACTACATTCTGGCCATAGCTTGTAAATAACTCACAACAAAATAAAAAGTGGTAGATTTACATATTATACTATTATTCATACAACCAGAAGAAAACATATTTTCAATTATTACAATATATTAACATGAAGATTAAAAACACAAATTTTACCTAGGTAAATTACCTTCAGTATAAGCTGTAAACGGGACCATATCATATAATCTTCAAAGTCAAGAAGAAACTGAGGCATAATGTGGGAAAGAGATGCTCCTTGACTTCTAAAGTCAACATCAACGCAAAATTAAAAAATAGAAAACAATGCAAAATATTGGAAAAGAATGACCCTTTCTTCAACTACCTGTGAATACACTAACATCAAGAGGTTTTATCCATAGCCATAAATATGAAATCTTATAAATATGACATCCTCCAAAAGAGATAATTAACAGATTACTTTTTCTCACAAGAACATTTACCCTCTTGAATAGAGGAGTAGACTATTGCAGGATTTCACAACCAAAGAATAGGAATCCTAAGAATACTTGGGAATAAAAACCATTGAACTCAATATAATTTTCTATAGGATTATACATAAGTTTATGATTGCAAAATGCACATGAATGCTTGTTCAGCTTTTTGCAAACAGCTATTTTCTTTTCTTCTTCTCCATCCCAAATTGTAACTCCCTTTCTCATCTCTTCCTGGTTCTGTCCTTTCTCCTTTCATTTTATTACCACCTTCTTATTTACTGCATTTGATGGAAGGGAGGGAGGAAATGAGGGTTAATATATGTACTTTCATATACTTTATTGATTTTACAAATTAGATATTTAAAACTATTTGCCTGTGAAGTAAGTTAACACCTTTTAATTGAATTGATCTTGATATTATATTTTTGCCCTTACCTTGCTCATTTATGGAATGTGGCCTCTGGCCAGTCATCTATAATATGTGTGTGTGTGTGTGTGTGTGTGTGTGTGTGTGTGTGTGTGTGTTTGTGTGTGTGTGTTTGTTGTGATTTTGGAGGTCAGTTTAAAATTAGTATCATTGTATTTCAGGATGGTCTAGCATACTAGTACTTCAGTAAAAATGTACAGATCTGGAAAACTTTTGAAACTACATGCAAATCATACTAGTACTTTCAAAGCACATACTTGAGAAAAGTGATCATTGTAGAATGTTGCCAGTGAAGTTGCACTACTCGTTGGATGGGATCAAAAGGCAAAACTTGACTTGAACTAATTCCAGGCAATAATTGTCCACTTAAATGAAGCAACAAGTCATAAATTGTCTTGGTATCTTTACCAAGATTTAGCTTGAGTTTTTCATCTGATGAAGTCATTTGAATTTTACAAATATCACTAGATAAAGGATAGAAAGAAATCTGTTTTATTATTAAAAGTAAGGTAAATTAAAGAACCTCCTACTAGTTTATTTTGTTATTTTCTGGTACAGGTGGTCCTTGACTTATGACCACAATTGAGCCCAGCATTTCTGATGCTAAGTAAAACATTTGTTAAGTGAATTTTGCCGTTTTATGATCTTTCTGGCCACAGTTCTTAAGTGAATCACTGCTATTGTTAAGTTAGTCACACGGTTGTTAGGTGAATCTGGCTTCCTTATTGACTTTGCTGGTCAGAAGGTCACAAAAGGCGATCACGTGATCCCGGGACAATACAATCTTCCTAAATAGAAGTCATTTGCTAAGCATCTGAATATTGATCATGTGACCATGGGGATGCTGCAACAGTCATAAATATGAAAAATGGTCATAAGTCACTTCTTTCAGTGCCATTGTAACTTTGAATGGTAACTAAATTAACTGTTGTAAGTCGAGGACTAGCTGCATTTATTATTTGTGTATACTGTCTTACTACCAACAAGTCTAGATAGCATACAAAAACTAAATAAGAACAGATTTAGTAATACATGGAAAATAAAAGATGGTAGAAACAATAAGGCCCAAAAAAAGGAAGCAAGGGGGCTTCATCCATCTCACCAAAGGCCTGGGCAAAGAGCCAGGTCTTCAAGGCCTTTTAAACAGATATGCAGATTTCAGGGAGAACCTCATTCCAAAGGGTGGGTACTGCTATAGAAAAGGCACAGTTCTGGGGTCCTAATACAGGACACATTCACAATGCAGAATTCATGACTCCCATGGAATTGAAATATGGGAAATTTTATACGATGTTTTATGACATAATACAAAATGGAGTAAAACATTCCTGTAATCGGTTCCTGATGCTGACTGCTATGCAATTCAACATGGGCTGTTTTCAAGATAAATTTCTGAACATCTTTCTGAATTTTTAGGAACTTTTCCAGTGAAGGCAACACATTAGATGCTTTGCCATTGTTGAAAACACTGAGAAATCTGGTAAGGAAATATCAGCGAAACAATGATCCAATAAGTCAAGGGTTGTCTAGTTTACAATTATAAATATAAATCACTGCTCTTTCTTTCAACTCATACTAAAATATTTCCTAAGTTTAATAAAGCATTCATTTTTTAAAAAAATATGATATGATAACAATCTGCTCTTACCGTCTTAGAGTATATGGAATTGAAATTGGATTTGGTCCTTTAGACCAGCCAAAAAGAGTAAACCAGTTCTGAACTGCCATTACAATTTTCTGGAAAAAGGTATATTTTGCTGTCTCTTCTGCAGGAAAAACTAATTCATCACATGTATTCCTCCTAACCCATTTACTTTGGATGATAGCCTCCCATTTCTTTATCTTTTCATTTTCAAGGATCTTTTCCAGTTCTGCATAAAAATACAGTAATTTGGTTATCATTGTACCACTTTCTAGCAAACAATTAAACTTTATTTAGTTATTTAATATTCAGTTTTTGTTGAACACAAGATCAAACATTTCAGGTATGCCCAAATATAGGTGATTATGAGCCAATAATCAGTAATGTATCTATTTCTTACTTTGGAAATATATGTGATTATGATCCAATAATCAGTAATGTATCTATTTCTTACTTTGGAAATATAAGTAGTTATCCAATAAAATAAAATTCATAGCTTCATATTGGATGGGTTAGACTGATTATGAATATGCCATTATTTGATTGATAAAATTGATGGTGTACCTAATCATTCAATCAATCACAGTTTCTATGAAACTGAATTACTATACAGGTATAGTAACAATGAAAATACTGAAGGAGACTTTTGAAGAATGGAATCAGAATAATATTAACAATATCAGAAATGATGTCTCCTTCTATGGATAGACTATTATCCAAAAGATGTATTGAAATGAAATAACACATTTTAGCCCACAAGATAGAGATGGTATCAAAAATATATTTAAAACTGACAGGCATATGACTTGGAAAAGAATGTTTTACAAGATCCAAAAAAGGATTTTATTGCTGTTTTAAAATTCAAAGGGGCAAATACAAATGATAAACCAAGAGAGTGACCTGCACAATTTTTTATGGAATTTACAAAAGAAGCTTGTTAAATTCTTGAAAAACCCTGTACAATGAGACAAAGAAGAAAAATGTCTTAATTAGGGGGGAGGATGAAAGGGGGCTTGCAATCTAACTGTCTAGAAGTTGACTAATTAAGAGATGAGGATTAGTTACTGTACCCTATGCCTGTTGATAAACTTATCTGAAAAAAATTGTTTTGATTGTTGTGAAAATAGGGGTGGATTAGTGTTGGAAATAGGATGAATAAACATTATTATATTGAATTGAAATTTGGGTATTGTAGTAGTATTTCATAGAATCATAAAAGCAGAGGGCTGGAAGGGACATTGGGAGTTTTCCAGTCCAACTTCCTTCCTAAGGCAGGAGGCTTTATACTATCCTGGATAAAAATTTGTCCAATCTTTTCTTGAAAATCTCCAGCAATGGAGCATCCACAACTCCAGGAGGCAAGTTGTTCCACTGATTAATTGTTCTGACTGTCAGGAAATTCCTCCTTATTTCCAGGCTAGATGTCCTTGATGCTATTTCTGTTAATGCAGCTGCATTGTTGTTGTTGTTGTTGTTTTGGTAGCTGCAGCACACTGCTAGCTCATACTTAAGTGGTGGTCTACCAGGACATTTAGATCCCTCTTATAGGTACTACTATTGAGCCAAGTACTGCCTATCCTGTACCTGGACATCTAGTTTTTGCTTCCCAAGTATAGGTCTTTACTTTTCTTCACACTATCTAACAACTGCATCTTGTTGGTTGGCCCAATGCTCAAGTCTGTTCCTTATATAGTATGTTGTATATAGTATGTTTAAATGTGTGTTATGCATGTGTACACTTTGAGAGCAACAACTAGATTTCATTAATGTGTGCCATTGTGCCCACAGTAAAAAAATGACAATAAAGGTTATCTATCCTTCTGAATCTTGAGTCTCTCAGAGTGTTAGCAATTCCCCCCAACTTAGTGTCTTCTGCAAATTTGATGAGGACCCCTTCAATCCCCTGATCTAGCTTATTTATGAAGATGTTGAAGAAAACTGGGTCCAAGACAGAACCTTGAAGTACTCATTGCTTGCTTCCTTCCACATAGATATAGTTCCATTGAGGACTACATGTTGAGTACCAACTGCAAATCCATCTGGTGATTATATTGTCTGTCCTACATTGTTCTCTTCTAAGAAGTAGGCTGTGACCTATTTTATCAAATGCCTTACTAAAGCTTAAATATACTATATTCACAACATTTCCTTTGCCCATTAATTTAGTCACATTATCAAAGTAGGCAATGAAGTTTGTTTGGCATGTCCTATTTTTAAAAAGCCCATGCTGGCTTCTAGTAATCTGGCTTCTGGCAACCATTTTGTTCAATTAGCAATGATCTCAGTTTGGATCTTCAGCTGGTATTAGAAGTGTTTATATTCACTCTGATCCTTCACTATGAAGTATTCTTAGATCTAGCGAAAAGCCTAGCAATTTGTTTCTTGCCAGAAGATCTTTGGCACAAAATAAGATTTGATAATATTTTATGAAATGTTCTGATTTTGCTATGATGAACCATGTCTTAATTGTCTTGATTATAATTAATTCTATATTGGTCTCCTTTGAAACTATTACAAAAAGCAACTAAACTTCTTTTTCTTTGTATCAGTTCCACTGGCTCATTAATAATTCTCAAGCAAGGTTCAGAGAACTAGTTTTGAATTAAATAAAGCAGATGGTACCTGAATAGTATTTTCCTTCGTATAATTTTTTTTTGCAGAAATCTTCCAAAGAAACCATTTTGCATTGTTCTTCCAGATATTAGTATTAATAAGACATAAAATGACAACTGGTACTTTCAATGTAATTTTTAACATCCACAGTGCAAAATTATATTATACTATTTTGGTATATCACAACCAAAACTACTCACTGAAAAGTTATTTAGCATCTTTAGTTCCAAAGATGGAACTATTTGATATTAGTTCTTAAGTATATATTTGAAAACTGAGCAAATTAAAATCTGATTAATGAACTTTTCTTTGCTATATAAATCAGGCCTCCCAAATAGATATCCCATTTGTTCAACAACTGTGCCAACTGTGTCAGCTGCAAGTCTTAGAAAGGAACACAAAATTTACTGTCTCCAAATAACTTTTGAAAAGCTCAACCATATTTCTCAATCATTCCTTCATTTTAGAGATCATTTGTAAATTATACCTGAAACAGAATTTTCATAATCAGAGTTGGCAACTGGATCAAAAATACTGGAAGAAGATTGTATACATGTTCCAGGAATGTAGCAGGGATGTTGTAAAGTATCTCCAGTGCTGTAAATTATCTTACTAGAATCTAAGTATGATGAAAACACACACAAAAGCTATCATGCAGTTCATTCTAAAAGTACATTCTAAAATATTTAACTGTATAGTATGTACAAATATATCATGAATTCAAACTAGCATAAGCTAATGCTAATCCATCACATTCATGACAAATTCTTAACCTCTAAGCATGTCAGGGAAGTAAAGACTTTTAAACTGCTAAGAAAATAATTTGGAATTTTTGAAAGAATATAAATGTTCTAAGTAATTAAGAAGAAAAAAAACAATTTCAATTAGTGAAAATTCTTTAAATACTAATGCTAAAGCATTAGGCTATAACTAGCTGTGAAACACTTAAAATTATTAAGTTACATCAAATTCATTTCATTTAAACAAATTATTAATTCTTGTTTTATATTTCTGCATTATGTTTTAGCATTCTAGAAAACTTAGATTAATCAATTGTTTTTGGAACTAGAAAGCTTAATGTTAATATCCATTCTAAACTTTGTGTACATCAATCTTATTTATTTCTTATTTCATCCCACTGTTTCATGTCTGCTAGCCTTATTTTAGCATACTCAATCATGTATAACTCTTCAAATGTTCTTTTATAACTTTCAGTACTGTCTCACCCATCTAAACTTTTGGTGACCCATAACAATAAAAAAAACTAGAATCTTGATATAGCACATTAAATTTGTCAAATGTTTGAAGCAACACTAATCAGAATAATATAAAAACAAATCAGAAACTACTCACCACTTTCCAAGACAATTTGTTGGTTAGTAAGGTGGCAGGCCAAGTAGGGATACACTGTAAGAAGGCAATTCTCTGCTGTTGCAGACACTTGAAGTGAGAATCTAAAAATAGAATAACTTTCATTAAAAATATAGTTGAGTATTTCCCTGCTATTAGCAGAATTTTATAATTAAATTCTCAGTTTTCTCACTGTCCTGGCATCCATGCAAAAGTACAAACATTGCATTATGTATGGAAAATGCTTCCAAATAAATAAAACAGGTTTGTCACTATTACTTTTAAAACATATTGTCATTCTAGGAAGGAGAACTGTTCACTGTGCAATGTAAAGTTATTAGAGGATTGTAAATTAGTTGAATAGCTGGAAGCTGGGAAACCAAAACTGCTTTTCACAGTATTTTAGGTTAAATATATTTATTAAAAAAATCTGGAATATTATGTAGCACTGCCTATTTTGATCAAATCTCAAATATATTTATCTCCCCCCCCCCCCATGATACTGGTTTCCTTGTAATAACAACTACAGTTACAGTTTATGAGATTATTTACCCCAGTTCAATTCATGTACAGCAATAACAGTGACAAATCTTTATTTATTTATTTATTTATTATTTAAATTTATATACCGCCTTATCTCCCTTGACAAACATATATATATCTCCCCTATCTCTTGACAAACATATATATATATATACACACACACACATATACACACACACCTTTTGATCTTGGATAACTGTAATGATAAAGTGTTATTGCTCTAATCTTTCAATTCAAAACTGAAATGGAGTTTTTACATAGGCTACTACTGCCATTTCATTTCCAACTCAAGCTTATTATATCACAGAGAGAATGAACAATTCCCGTCATGTATTTCTTTCTATATACTAACTTTTGAACAAGAGCCCATAGCACATGGTATATGCTGACTCTCTTCTAAAGTAAGTAATATTAAACTATTTCTTTTATATTAGCCAAAAATTGTTAATATTTTAGTAATAAAATATGGGTACATAAAGCATTTCAAATTATGCATGTAATATCATATAAGTAAAATAATGTTGAGCCCTGAAATGTCTTAAGTTACTTAAGTATCTAAAAAATCATATTGCAGCTACCTGTTTCTTTCTTCATCAACAAAAAATAGATTCTTCAAAAAAGACAATGGCTTTGAAGAAATGAAATTGATGCGGCAGCTGAATCCAATACAGTTTCCTTCTGGTGTTATTTCAATTCTATTGCCTTCTGGAAAGTCCACTGTTAAGGGATGTCTCTGTTGAGCACTAATATCACCACCACCCTCATAATCTCCAGAATCAAGTTCTGGAATTTCAGCTTCTAAAACTGATGGTCTGTTAAAACCAAGAGAGTAAGACATGAAATTTCAAAATAACAGGACTTAAAATAGTTATTTATTTATTTAATTTTATTTGACACCTACAGTATCTCACCGTTAGGCTAAAATAGTAATTTTCAAAGGAAAAACACACAGTAAAAAGTAAGTTATCAATAAAGATGGTTTGTTAAAATAGCTAGATCTAAAGGGAAGTTACTGAAAATTATATTTAACTTTACACATTTTTAATTACGGTATACTTTTATATTTCTAGCTTCCTAAGCAGTATAATGTAAAGTGAAATAGCCTACATGGTATAATATAATAATGCACTAATTTTCCTTTATTGCATTCTAATGCCAATTATCTTAAATTAATTTGGAATTGTATTCAACGTTTGGGCTAAATAACCTCTGGTGTAGCAAAGTCACATTCAGTGGATTTGTTTTACTCTTTTTTGAATGGTTCAATTCCACATGATTTAAGAAACTTAGGTTCAAAGTCTGAAAAACAATGCAGAAGGGATTGTTCTTTGAATCCCTTCTATCACCAATATCTATCACCAATATCTAAGAAATGATGTAATTGACCTAAATATGTAAAAACGGGGGGGAATACATAGGGTCAGATTATTGGAAGGATCACCTCTTTCCCATGGCATTTACCCCTCCAAGAAAAATCAGGCAGAATTGAATCACTTTTGGTCCCCTCAATCAAACAGTCATCCATTGGGACACAGAAAATATACTTCCTCTGTCATGGTTCCTGCCCTGTGGAATATCCCAACCATCTCTAGAGATCCATTTGGTTTCCACCATGATATCCTGGAAGTCTTTAAGAAATTGGCTGTTTTATCTTATAGAGAGTAGATTTGTCCAAAGATATAGTATTTTCTTTTTACTGTTTTCTATTTCTTACGGTAAGCCAACTAGAGATGTCCTGGAATTGGATAGCATCTGAATCTGATAAATAAATCAGTGTCATTTAGTGAATAAAAGCTATCTAGATAATTTTCCTTGGGTGTCCACTAAAGCAAATTATACTTTTTATAAAGGAGGCAGAAAAGGAATAAGCTTAACAAATATTGTTGCATTGGACATCCTAACAATAGCAATAGCAATAGCACTGTGCTTTACAGCCCTCTCTAAGCGGTTTACAAAGTCAGCATATTGCCCCTAACAATCAGGGTCCTCATTTTACTGACCTTGGAAGAATGGAAGGCTGAGTCAACCTAGCTGGTGACAATTGAACTGCCAAACTGCTGGCAGCCGGCAGTCAGCAGAAGTAGCCTGCAGTACTTCATTCTAACCACTGAGCCACCACGGCTCTATAATTGTCTAACACAGCGGTTCTCAACCTATGGGTCGCGACCCCATTTGGGGTCGATCTACCATTTCACGGGGGTCGCCAAGCAAGGCTGTCTGCCATTTTTTTCCCCTTTTCCGATGGGTGCCTTACCTCCCTTGGGCTGGGCCAGCTGGTGGTCAGCCTGCTCCGTCTCTGCCACTTGCCAGCTACGCCTCAGCCGGCGCAGGGGGCGGAACCACGCATGTGTGGCGCTCCCGGGCAGGGAAAGTCCTCGACTTACGACCGGTTGGGTAGTCCTCGACTTACGACCGGTTTAGTCCTCGACTTACGACCGGTTCTTATCACTTTTAATATCCTGTTACTTCTACTTACTGTGCTGTTGTTGCTTTCTGGTGCCTTTTGAATCAATCTTGACTCCTGGCAGTTGCTTGGACAATTTCTAGCAAGGTTTTTCAGAAGTGGTTTGCTATTTCTTTCTTCTTAGGGCTAAGAGAGTGACTGGCCCAAAGTCACCTAGCTGGCTTTGTGCCTAAGGTAGGACTAAAACTTCAGTCTCCTGGTTTCTAGCTTGAATCCCCAACTACAATGCCAAGCTGACTCTCTACTGTACTATACTAAGGTCATATGCATTCCTGTTAATGTCTTAGAAGTGTTTTAAATTTGAGGCTTTTTAATGGTCTTCCTATTTAATTATTTGATTTATTAGACTTGGTGCCACCCAACTCCAGAATGACTTCAAGCAGCTCACAATGTAACAAACAAAATAAAAAATGTAAGATAGTGCAGATCACAAACTAAAAAAGAACAAGATGATGAATTTGACTGACAACAAAATATTTGTTAAGGTTCCAAATAATGAACCCAATCAATCAGGATTCCGAAGCTCGATGTTTCTCCTGTGTTCCTTTATTGGGTACATCATATCGGCAGGCTTAGTTCAAAACCAACTCTAAATAAATTCCTTTACATTGCATAATTAAAAGAATAAATGCTTCCCTTCCCCCCAAGTGTCATAGATCACACTGACCAATTAATGCAATTGGTGGGCTCAACATTGCTTCTGTTGTCACCAAACACCTGTGGGAGATGACCTTGGTTCCCATGAGAGCTGTCTTCTGTTGTGTCTGGCACAGCGTAGCTAAAACAATCCTCCCCCCGCCCCCCATTTCTGTGGCAACTGAGAAATGAAAGTGAATGGCCTCAGGCAGGGTTGTTTAGAAGTTGACAATATTTTGGTTTATGTTTTCTTTCCTACATTATGGCTCCCTCCACTTTTTTATTATAAAATCAGTTGTTTAATTTACTTGACGGTGACTGTAATGAAGATCATCTAATAATGATTAGTGCTAAAAGTAACAAGGAATAACTGACCAAACCAATAGTTTTAAAAAATCACAATGTTTAGCATCCCATACATTTGCATGTTAATATTTCAAATAGCAAATAATTTGAATAATTTCAAATATCCACATATATTTTTGTAAGATGATGAGAAAAGGTTTAAATTAGTTGAAATTCATTATTTGCTAGTTATTGTTTTTGTTATTAATTGCATAGATTCACCATCTGAAATTATATATAGAGAGACAATAAATAATAACACCTAATGAAGTCAAAATGTGAATTGTTAGTTACCTTAAATAATCCTGGGGAATTATACAGACATCTGCTCCTGTTTTAACATTGAGAGGAACAGGCATCAATATCAAAAGCTGAGGTTTAAAGTTGATTTTATTTGATTTCACAACTCCAGATAATGTAATTGTTCTGTAAACAAGTAGCTCATCATTCAAAAATGCAGGCAGCTGAGCAGTATATATTCCAGGCCAATCTGAAGGGGAGAAAAAAGTGCAATTGGCAATGTGTGCAGTTCTTTATGTAACAGGCCAAATTGATGTTATAAAATCCTATTACCAAATGAAAGCACGAGGACATAATATAGGACTGGAATTTCTGATCTGTATTAACTTCTTTCTACAAAAAAGTTACCTGTATGTATGAATTGCTATGAATGTATTAATGATAAAATCCATCAATGTATTAAATCCAATACCCAGGTTGAATTTTGGTCTTCCAAGTTACCTCCTATCTTTCACAACAAACACAGCTTTTGTTATAGCAATAGCAATTTTGTACACATCGCAAAGAACAGTTCCTCTAATTAGGGATTGATTGAAATACAATGATTTCCAGAAGAAAACCCTAAATTAGAGGCAACTGCATCTTATTTGGTCAGAAGCACCTAAATAGTATTTTTGTTTTAAAATTCTTTGTTTCTTCTCCACTAAATCAGATTATTAAGCCAGATATGAAGCATATATACAGTTAATTTTAGAATGCAAACTCATCTAATGTTACTGGAGCTGTACCTATCTGATAATGCAGTGACATTTTGCCAGTAATGATCCTTTAATATATCCTAAATGCTTTTCCATGATGTGGCTCTCTAACAAAATGAAAAAAATTTAACTCGAAGGACACAAATAGTATAGAATCTATTATCCTAACAGATTAATCATAGATAGAAAACAGAAATTGAAACTCCATTCTCAGATCAATGTTTATACATTTTTAAAAATTACATTATCACTCATTTTATGAAGATGCCAAAGGCTGCCATTAATAAATTGATTTCATAATTTACATGATTTATTTTTGTGCAGCCAGTTCAAATTTGGCCCATTTAAAGCGTGATATATTTGAGCATATACCTTATTTTCTTATAAGATATTAATGAAGGTATAATAGTATACAAAGGTATAAGATATATTAACATCACCAATATTGTGCATGTTTATACATTTCTTATGTATATTAATGTACAATGCATATCATTTATAATCAGTTATAACTGACAGATTTGAACATAATTGCTCATAGTGACTTATGATAAATCAAAAAATCCCTCCATTTTTTACAGAAAAGTGTCACAGAAGTTCATGTTTTGTTCATTTATAAGTTACAACTTACTAATATTAATATGTATTATCTGGCAGTGTATTTAAAAAGAAGAGAAAATAGTAAAAAAATCATTTACATTCATCTTGATACATACAATTCAGATCCTGGAACAAGCACCTCTGCAAATCTGACCCATTTATACTTTTGATGTCATCTTCCCTTTTATCCCTAGCCCTTTCATTCTGACCTTTCCAGCAAAGTAATAGAAAATCTTAAAGAGTAAGCAGGGAAAATGTTCAGACTAAATATCACTTTACAAAACCTCTTCTGTCTAGCAGACTATTATTACATAGCAGCCAAGTTTGAGATTGCTGGCTTTGGTGAAATTCAGGAGAATAAGATGGTGCTTGTAAGATGCTGAATTTAACTTTATTGACGATACAAAGTAATCTCATGAAGACTTTCAGTCTAGAATACTGTATTAAATGCAGCCAGGTGTCACCAAGAGCATGTAACTGACATTTCAGTGAAGTATTCCCCAGAATTTTTAGTTCACATCATTCAGAGCTGTATAATTGAGAATGGGACAGGTGGAAGCCTTTATAAGTGCCAGGGGTACTAGCTGGTCTACTGTAGCTTCGTTACTCAGGGGAAAGTATTTACTCCAACTCATAAAAGATTCCACAACATTTATTTTTTAAGTTTAATCAGGAGGAGGAGGAGAAAGAGATAGAATAAAAAAATAGAACAATATAAAGCCTGAGAGATTAAAGAGGTTTATGTTTCCTAAAAAAACAACAGACTATATAGCAGATGGTCATCTCCAGCAGCAGTTCCATAAGTTTTAAGGTGGGCACATTTACAATCACACTCAAATCATAATCTGTTCCAATTGTACATGATCTGAAAACCATCAATAGATGACTTTAGATATGAAGACAGACTTTTAACAATTTGAGATTCGAGTAGACTTGAATAATTAACACAAGGACATTCAGTTGGATCAAAACAAAAAAGTAATGAAGATACTATTTTAAAATTCTGTCAAGACACTTTCTAAGGTACTATTCTTGTTAAAATCTGATATTATTTTGTACTACTGTAAAAAATACATGGTGGTTACCAACTACTGTTTCACATTGTATTACTGATGATTGCCATAAAAAACCTGGGTCTAATAACAAAACAATAAACTCTGGATAACTGTTATCACACTCTTTCTATTCAGGAAACCTAATTTATCAGCCTCCATGTACTCAAAATACTTGAACCTTCGCGCGTCAGAATTTCAATGCACACACATAAACTTTCCCAAAGGGATCCAGCTGCTTTAATATTTCAGGGAGGAAAAGGATAGGTCCAAGTTCTTCAGCTTCTTTCTAGGGCCAAGGTGATGTGTTCTTAATAGTATCATCTCTCTGCATTGAATAAGGAAGAAGTGCTCAGTCTTGGCAAATGTTCTGTCACATTCACCAAGTACTACAACCCTTTGCTTGTGTACAAACACTTCCAATATTATAAAAATAAAATTGCTGTCCATACATGCATAGGAAAAGTTAGTGAGCCTCCCCATGATGGGACAACTTTAAATGGTTTATAAAGCAGCTCCTCTGAATGCTTTAACAGTTGAGGTCTCTTCTTTTAGTTGACATTTTTATCCACTGGACTTGCTCTTTCCTGTTTTCTTCTCCTTGTAGAAATTTATTCTGTCAACTCCTTTGGTAATGACTTTTTGTTGTTGTTGTTTTGTGTAATAAATCTTTTTGAAAAGCTGAAATATGGTCTCTCACTGCTGCAAACTATTTTTTTTCTTCAAGTACCATTACAAACCTGTATGCTGCAAATATATGCCAAATTGTTTTCAAGCAAGAACAAAAACATGCCACAAGTACTGCAAGTCATTATTGCCTTGTCATGTCCATTTATGTTCACCTCTGCTTCTCAAGGCACCACGAATAGAAATGTTTTTATTTCTTGTTCCCATCCCAGCTCTCATATTAGCCAAGCACATTGTTGACTTAGAAAAAAAAATGTTGAGAATCTCCTGTTTGAACTCCATCACCAAATTCTTGTTAGCTGTCCTTGTTCATTTGTTTAGTAAACTCATTCCAAAAAACAAGCCTTTGTTTCTTATTTGGAAATAATAATTCAATCAATCACATTGGATAAACAGTAATTCTTAGGACATACACACAGTCTCAAAACATACAGTTTTACAAATCATTCTCTCTATCTTGTATTTTGATGATCTCCACTGCCAAATTCAAGTAACCTAATGTGGAACATCACATGAAATCTATCATTTAAAGTGAAGTCTTTTGAATGGATTATATGTTTTTATGGAAAGTGTTAATTTCTTGATAGAATAGAATAGAATAGAATATAATAGAATAGAATAGAATAGAATAGAATAGAATAGAACTGGACGGGACGGGACCTTGGAGGTCTTCTAATCCAGCCCTCTGCTCAAGCAGGAGAACCTATACTGTCTCAGACAGGTGAATGTCTAGTCTCTTCTTAAAAATCTCCAGTGATGGAGCACCCACGATTTCTGAGGGTAAGCTGTTCCACTAGTTGATTGTCCTCACTGTTAGGAAGTTTCTCCTTAATTCCAGGTAGCTTCTCTCTTTGATCAGTTTCCAACCATTGTTTCTCGTCCTTCCCTCTGGTGCTTTGATGAACAACCTGGCCCCCTCTGCCTTGTGGCAGCCCCTCAGATACTGGAATACTGCTATCATTTCTCCCCTATTTCTTCTTTTCTTTAGACTAGCCAAATCCAAGTCCCATAGCCGTTTTCGTATGTTTTACTCTCCAAACCCAAGCTCTAGAAAAATCTGATCACAAACCCAAACTCTGGCTCAGGTACGTAGACGACACCTTCATAATCTGGCCACATGGGAAAGAAAAACTGGACAACTTCCTCACACACCTCAACAGCCTACACCCCAAAATACAGTTCACCATGGAAACAGAAGCTAATAACCAACTTCCCTTTCTGGATGTCCTAGTCTA